TTCACTCTAAAATAAAATGGCTGTCTACTGCTCTCTGAAGATTTATGCAGTTTTGAGTTGCCTTTTGATGCGGATCTGAACTAAAACCAGTTGTACCATATCTGCCTTTTGTCTTTAAAGATCCCCTCAGATGGTTCACTGTCATGTGTTTAAATAACTATGTATGATGCACATTATGTTATACAGCCCCATACAAACAAACTGCGATGCACTGTGTGTTTTGACACCTGTCTATTAGAACCAGCATTAACTGTTTCAGCAGTTTGAGCTACAGTTGTTGCCTAATATATCCCACCCACTTCACCTGTCAGTGGTCATAATGGCATAGCTGATCGGTGTATATGACAGCTGTAGTTACTTTTCAAGTATATATAAAGTATTAGTACTTTCACCAGCTGAAACCCAGCTTGTTAATGTTAATTATTTGTTTATAATATACAAATAATACAATATATATCATATTATGAAACTTACTATTATGCCCAACTTTCACTCATGATACTTCAAATACATTTGCTGATACTAATACGTTTGAACTTCTACTTGAGTCAGATCTTAAATGTTAGACTCTTACTTATAACAGAATATTTGTACATAGTGGTATGCTATATTTAAAAAGTAAAATGTATGAGTAAGTTTTCCACCACTGCAGTATTGTGCGTCGTTAATAATTTATGTATATTATCACACTCTACTAGCAGCCAGCCCTTGTGGAATATCAATGTGATTTAACTAGCCCCAAATCTAGCAGTAGGGGGGGAAGAGTACAACACAAAACAGAACAAAAACTGATGCAGGTGTTCAACTTAATCAACTTTACATTTCTGTACAAGACCTTCATCTGCAAACAAAAAATTTTAACAGAGGAGAAAAGTGGCATTTTATTCTGATATGTATGTATAATATTAAATAAGGTTGAAGCAAAAATATTCTGTTTACTTCATGGGCACCCTGACAAATAAGTATGGAATGAATAGAGTGAAAGGCAATGCCAAGAAATGTCAGATTTGAATAAAACAATTTAATAGAAGATTTCTTAGAATATTTATGTTTTTTTATAAATATGGTTATGGCTCCTTTGGCACCCCAGCTGTTAGAGTAAGGAGTATTTATCATCCCAGGATTTTGGGAAGATTTTAGTTTTCTTCTTGGTCTTGGTCAGGAACAGCTTATATTCCTTCCACACAATGCAGAAAAACAAATTAGCATAGTAGGCTCCCAGTGGGCAGGTATGAATTGCCAGTTTGCGTGACTGCCCTAAATGAGCTCTAGATTAGTGAAGGTGAAGAGAAAATTGCATAGCTGAAGCATGGTGTCAAACAAGTGAAATGATTCATGACAAACAGTTGAGAGTTTTTACACTGTGTGTCTGCATGCATGTGTTAGTGAGAGTGGGGGTGTTTGTCAAATGGTGAAACTGTCTCTGTGGATCTGGTCTGGTAGGGTGCTATTGGGCTGTCGACACAGTTGCTGTGTTCAAGAAATGACGGAACAGAAAAAAGGTGTGTGTGTGTGAAGGGAGTTAGAGTGCAGAGAAAGGCAGAAAAGTGACACAAAGACATCTTTATATTCTATATTTGTGTGATTTCTTACTTGCATATATGAAAGTAAAAGGAAGCTGTAAGGAATACATGAGTGGAAGAATTTAGAATATTTTTTATTCTGTTATGACTCATATTCTCAAAATAAAAATATTGGATTGTAAAATGTATGCAGATGGCAGCTTACGCACATAGATCTTTCTACTTTATGACTGTTACATAAGCCTTCACACACGTAAAAAAATCAGGAAATGCTTTTATCCTACCTGTTAGTATTTGTAACCACTCCAATGTTTCTCAAAGTTCTCATTAAGATCACATGCACAAAGACAAGAAGTAATTCACACATACTAACATGCAAAAGTACACCAACAACACATAAAGTACACAGGTTCATGCATACACACATACCCGTCACATCTGACAGTCTTTGAAGTTGTCAACATGTTTTCCCTCTGTCTCTCATGATGTTTTATCTTTTTGTCCCCCCTTCATCTGTGACACACTTGCATCTGTCAGTCACCCCAGTAACAAAGACACATTGTTACTGCAGCTCATTTAAAAGCATGTTGGTTGGTAAGATGGGTTCTCTTTCAGAAAATAAGAGAAAAACACATTGATCTATGGACAATGAGGTATAAAAGAGGCTTAAAGTTCTTGGTCAGATTATTTCTCTTTTAAAAAGAACTCATGTGTAGATCATGCTTGAAGGAGGGTTGTATCTAAACTTTTTGGACTCTGATACTGGATGACCGGTACTGGCCGATGCTGATATTAATATGAGAGTTTAAAACACTTGATAACAATACATTGGACGATTATTATCAAAAAAAATAAATAAATCTATATGGATCTAGGTATGTGTATAAGTAAGTTTTTTGCTAGATATACTAATTTACCTTCCCCTTATTTGTGTTGTTTACAAGCTTTTTTTAAACACAAACTGAGGCAGGTTAAATTTTGTCATATAGCCTAAAGACTGCATTAATAAATTTGATATATACTCTGCATGAAATGGGGATTCAAACTTGAGACAATTCACTAATTCATGCATAAATAAACATTCTTTTTTTTTTAAAGTTTGAGCCAAACACATCTGAGCATAAATAGATGAGATAGCCTCGTGATGTCTAAGAAGAAAGCCAGCTTTTACTACCCAGTCTGTTGAGGTAGTTTATACACCTTTTTGACAGAAAAGGAAACGTGAAAACACTTTCGGATTAAATTCATCAAATTCGGATTATGATGATGTCAGAGGGGATTCATAATTAAGTTTATTTCTCCAGCAAGATTAGAAATGCAATATTACTTTAAAAACAATTGATGAAACCAGAAACCACTATTAAAAGAATGAGGAAGAACAGATAAAAGCCTTGATGGTTTCAGTGTTTTTTTCTCCTCCATTGGCAGTGGGATGACTTTAGTATGAATCCATGAAGAATACCTTGTCAGATCGCCTTTAATTTGTCCTGCAGGCACTTCACTCTTTAAAATATCATACTACCTGGAGACAGGGGCTTGAATAAAATTTTCCAGTTTTTTTGGACACAATCACAGAAACACACCAAAACACACACCGCTCCGTACACCGTTCAGCAGTAACCTCTTTGTACATTCATACCCGAGGAGTGGCGATTACAGTGGAAATCAATTTGAGGTGCCTATGGCTAAATTGATATCATTACATTTACTGCAGGTTGAATAATGGATGACTGCATCATTATATAGGGAAGTAATGGGACGAGACAAAGCACAGGTAGACAGCTTGCCGCAGGTGAAAGCTATAATTAGTGTCTACAGTTCCTGGCACACCCACACACACACCCACACGCACACCCATACACACAGAGATGCATGCCTCCGATCTCAATCACACAGGTGCCCACTCATACTAAAACTAAATGCACTTTAGTACTAGCATACTAGTCACCGTTGGTGACTGGTGTGCTGCAGGGAATTAATCGTAACATTGTGCATCTCTTGAATCAAAGCATTTCTAATTATCAAAAGCAGACTTCCTGAGATGTTGCATGTGTTTCCTTCCACTGGTCATTAGTTCTCGCTGTTTATTTTATTATTAACACCTGTTCACTTATATTACACAGCAGTTGGTTGCCTACTGATGTTTCAGTGGAGTGAGAAAAGGGCCAGGAAAGTTTTATAAAATTGCTCACTGCATGTTTCGTGGGCACAAATTAGGTTAAGATGATCTTTCTTTTACTATTAAACAGATAATGTGACAATAACTGAAATTTGGAGCAATTAACCCTGTTCATATAATGTAATATGTATTAAAGGTTCCATATGTAAGATTCTGAACCATTTCACACGTAATTTTATATTGTATTAATCACTTTTTATTGCCAACTTGAGAATGGTTCGAACATAACTTAAAATGAGACCTTACCCAACTTTCTCTGCTGCATGTGGACTAATTTATATGCATTTCCATGTGGGGATTTAGGTTGGATTTACCGCAAACAAGGTGACATTTGTCTTCTCTCTCCGTCTCCCTACAGTGCAACACTAGCTAACGTTAGCTTATAATTCATCATCAGTCAACATCTACAAATGACCAGCAACAAACACAAAGTCCAAAGTCAAAGCTAACATTACTGCAAAGCTTCTTTTCTAATAGCCAAGAGCTATGCAAGGCAGTCCAGCTAACTGTATCCTAAACTAAGCTCGGGTTGGCTGGTTGGCGTTGGCTTGCCAGGATCTGGCGTTGGTTGCTTTGTGAATGGCAAGCTAGTTAGTAGTATGGAGTCAATCGTCTTAATGAAATGTAGGAATATTGCAGATAGTAATGTTATTCTACACATGATTGTAATTTATTTTCCAGCATTCATTCTACATTCATACTAGAGTATGTCACTTTCGGCCGATGCCCAGGATGATCAGGAGGACCCTGATAGCCCTTCACTGATGTCACTATTAACAAAGGTTTTTTGAACATTTAAGTTAAATATAGTAAAACTTGCAAAATTAAGGTTAAATTTCTCAGTGGATTTAAACTTTTAATTGTTTTGAAAATAAATTTGACAAGCCACAAAAAACAAAAAACGGAAAAAGCCTTTTTGAGCCATTCCGTCAAAAAACAAAATTGTGAATGGTAATGGTTATAATTTTAATTGTACCTATGTTATCTGAAACTAAAAATAAAACTTATATTAGTTTATGCGTTGTGTTTATCCTTGAGGTCAAACACATTGAATACATTTTCTTCCTCAAAAAACATTTGCAAAGCCGAACATTTATAATTCTCTATTTACATCCATATTTCCACTTCTTCTTCCCTGCCTTTGTTGCTGCTTTGTGCAGTCCTACTTTACTTGACACATTCCTGCCACCTGCAGAGCACTGGAATAGTGTGAAACCATTGGCAGGTCTATGGATCATGTTATCCACGTGAACATGGGTGTACCTGTATTTGCTTATAAATAAACAGCGTCATAGTATAAATATAGGTCAAAAACTCCACAAGGAATCTTTAATGTAATTTGTAAAATAATCAAGACAGTCAACATTGTATACATTATTTTTTTTTTCAGTATCAAACACAACAAAGCTTTAATAATTTGTAGTTCTGTTCTGAGGGTATTGAAACACCAAACCCTCCAAAGTTATTTGATTGTTGATTGTTGTTTATTTTATGTCTTGTTGATTGTTTATCTTATGTCTGTTAAATTGTTATAATATTGCTGTTTGCACCGTGGGTCCGAGAGGACTGAAATTTCATCTGTGCTGTATGTCGTGCATGTATAGCATTTTTGACAATAAAGCTGACTTGACTTGACTTGATTTGCTGTAAAAACATGTTATGATTTTGAATTATTTCTGCCTGTACTCAATCTGATGTAATGTTACTTAAGATGTTATGGTACAGTAATGTAAAAAAAAACAACAACAACATTTATGGGTAAACTTATCAATGAGGGTGGGAGTACATTGAGGGGATTTCATGTTCAAAAAACATTACATTTACTTAACATCATAATGTATGGCAAGGGGCAATTATGTACATGTATACTGATTATTTAACAGTAAAACACAAAAACTCTCCTGCTGATCAGACGGTGGTCCTCCATGTTATGGTAAAGGTCTGATCCACAAAAACTGACCTTGGAGTAGCATCTATTATCAGCTCCTATAGACACAAGAAGACACATATATGTAGTTTCTTAAGGTGTGCACCAGTTGTAAAATGAGACATGGCTTGTATTTCCTCAAATACTGCAGTATACACATATATAATTTAAACCTATACATTATTAACCTTTCACTGTAACCTTTTCACAATGTTTTTATATATATATTTTTTTGTCTTTTAATTGGATAGGACAGCTGAAGATACACAGGAAAGATAGAGAAAATAGAGAACACAACTTCTGCCTGCCCACCTATCTCTAATGCTACGGTAAGCGTATTGACTC